TTTATTTGCACATTAACATGATATGGTGGACCAGTTGTGTCGTGCTCACCAACATGATAAAGTTCGTATTCTGATATACGAAGGTCAATGCAATCTTCATCGGCGACATTTGTCAGGTGTCTAGAACAACTGCGTCTATGACACATTTTGAGAATATGTTCTTTCAAGTGACAATATCTGCAGGTTACATGCTCACCACTGCCACATCTGTAACGATGTTCGTTACCTGTTTTGTTGTCTTTGCTGACACTACTGGTCTCTGATTTTTGTGGAAATACTTTCCCTCCTTTGGGAAATTGTTGAATGTTCCCGCGTCCCTGAAAACTGTTTGACACATGATGTATACTTTCCCCTTTGTGGTTCCGTGAAGCTTGTTGAATATCAGAGATATTTCCGTGGCAGATTCGACGTAGGTAGCTATCGAGATCTGATCTTGAGGGCCTCGTGATCGGCTCGGTTCAAAATCGTTTTACGAGCACTTGATCAAATCACACCAGATCTGTACCTGTTGGTTTATCAATTTGAGCTCGATAGCCAAAGTTCTGAATAGTCAAAGTTCATCCGATTACACTTATAAGAATAGCCGACTTCTGATCACCATCTGTGATTTTGTTTGCTGCAAAGTATGCAGACAGTATTATCGCTGTACGCGAGTGGGTAATGAATCGCACTCCGAAACCAACCGGAAATGGTGCAAAATTCAGTTTCAGTTTTCATGGAAACCACAATGAAACTATAGGAAACTACCTGGAAACCAACTGGAAATGGTGGTTTCCATAGCGTTCTTCTTTTCAGTTTCTGTGTTCCGGAAACCAATTTATTTTTGTAGTGCAAGATGCCTTGGGGCAGGGAGCGGTCCTTTACATCCGCTCCGGGGACCATTAATTTACCCAGATGTATTTTCACGTTAATATCACTGTTACGTAAACACGACACTTATGATATCTGTGCTGTTTTGGCTGTGAGACTGCTTAACAAACACGTTTTATGCAGAAAAAGAGCAAAACAAAAAGGTAATTTTTCGTGTAAACCTGCCCTTTAAGTGGATTAAATATTACATCAGTAATAGGCTATTTGGGACTAAAATATTCCCAACAAACAAGGGTGGTGTTGGTTCAAATGTATTTGGGAACATTTCATAGGATTTCTGATTCAATAGCGCATGTAGAGAACACTATCATACATGTCCTTAAAGACACTACATCACAGCACACTTCTATAAAAATAAATAAAACATTTCTCTCAGTAATACTATCAACCCTCATGGAAGCTACCACATAATGCATTTATAAGAATTACGTGTTTAGATTACAACAACAAACTGATAGAGGTTTATTGATACTTGAAAATGCCTGACTAAGTGACAGTGACCTAAACTAAATATGTAATGGAAAGATCATTATGTTTTGCTCTAGAAAGGAGCACTACCACCAGTTTCAGTCTAAGTCAAACTTGTTGGCATGGAATTGCAAAGATATTTTATTCAGAAATCCAAACTACCAAAAGGCACCAGTACACAACCAGATTTATGTATGTGCAAAGTTTGGTGAAGAAACATTGAACGGTTTTAGAGTTCTGCTCGGGAAAAGAGCACTACCACCAATTTCAGTCTAAGTCAAACTTGTTGCCATGGAAACGCCACAAATATCTTATTCAGAAATACAAAACTACCAAAAGGCACTAGCACACCACCAGACCAATCTATGTGCCAAGTTTGGTGAAGAAATAGTGAACGGTTTTAGAGTTCTGCTCCGGAAAAGAGCACTACCACCAATTTCAGTCTAAGTCAAACTTGTTGCCATGGAAGCGCCAAAAATATTGAACGGTTTTAAAGTTCTGCTCTGGAAAACGCGTTGCGGGGGATAACAAAACAAAACAAAAACACAAAAAACAAAACAGTGATAGCTATTATGAGCAAGAACACATAGGATGCATGTTGTCCCACACGTGAATCAGAACTCGAGATCCATCAACGTACCCTGTGTGACCACGGTAGGTTACTAGGCACAAATTCTAATCTCGCGTGACCACCGTAGGTTACTAGGCACCAATTCTACCCTAGCGTGACCACCGTAGGTTACTAGGCACCAATTCTATCCTCGCGTGACCACCGTAGGTTACTAGGCACCAACTCTACCCTCGCGTGGCCACCGTAGGTTACGAGGCACCAATTCTATCCTCGCGTGACCTCCGTAGGTTACTAGTGCACCGATTCTACCCTAGTGTGGCCACCGTAGGTTACTAGGCACCAATTCTACCCTCGCGTGGCCACCGTAGGTTACTAGGCACCAATTCTACCCTCACGTGGCCTCCGTAGGCTACTACTAGGCACCAATTCTACCCTCGCGTGGCCTCCGTAGGCTACTAGGCACCAATTCTACCCTAGTGTGGCCAACGTGAGGTTACTAGGCATCAATTCTACCCTAGTGTGGCCTGCCGTAGGTTACTAGGCACCAAATCTACCCTCGCGTGGCCACCGTAGGTTACTGAGGGCACCAATTCTACCCTCACGTGGCCTCCGTAGGCTACTACTAGGCACCAATTCTACCCTCGCGTGGCCTCCGTAGGCTACTAGGCACCAATTCTACCCTAGTGTGGCCACCGTAGGTTACTAGGCACCAATTCTACCCTCATGTGGCCACCGTAGGTTACTAGGCACCAATTCTACCCTCGCGTGACCACCGTAGGTTACTAGGCACCAAGTCCACCCTCGCGTGACCACCGTAGGTTACTAGGCACCAATTCTACCCTCGCGTGACCACCGTAGGTTACTAGGCACCAATTCTACCCTCGCGTGGCCTCCGTAGGCTACTAGGCACCAATTCTACCCTAGTGTGGCCACCATAGGTTACTAGGCATCAATTCTACCCTAGTGTGGCCACCGTAGGTTACTAGGCACCAAATCTACCCTCGCGTGGCCACCGTAGGTTACTAGGCACCAATTCTACCCTTGCGTGGCCTCCGTAGGCTACTACTAGGCACCAATTCTACCCTCGCGTGGCCTCCGTAGGCTACTAGGCACCAATTCTACCCTGAGTGTGGCCACCGTGGGTTAATACTAGGCACCAATTCACCTCATGTGGCCACCGTAGGTTACTAGGCACCACTTCTACCCTCGCGTGACCACCGTACGGTTACTAGGCACCAACTCCACCCCCTCGCGTGACCCACCGTAGGTTACTAGGCACCAATTCTACCCTCGCGTGACCACCGTAGGTTACTAGGCACCAATTCTACCCTCGCGTGACCACCGTAGGTTACTAGGCACCAATTCTACCCTCGCGTGACCACCGTAGGTTACTAGGCACCAATTCTACCCTCGCGTGACCACCGTAGGTTACTAGGAACCAATTCTAACCGTGCATGATTTGTGTTGTTTTGTTTGTTGTAATTTAATTGTAATTTACAGACTGGCGCCATAGCTCGAATATTTTGAAGTGTGATGTTAAACAGCAAACGAAAGTGGAGAACTAACAGAACCACTTCTTGCCTAAAACAGGAGTCCTTATATATATAGAGAGAGAGAGAGAGAGGGAGGGAGGGAGGAGGAACTACTGCTAAAAAATCACTGCTCCAAGTTTGGAAACAGCTATCCTTGCAGAGTTGCTTATACGTTGCCATAAACACATCTACGTCGCCAAAGTCTTGTGTAATCCACACAAAAGAGAATCCAAAATTAAATAGTGAACGAACATGAGAGATCCATTTTCATCAAAGACTTTTCATAACAAGCTCGAGGATACCTAGGGCTACTCATTCTCACTAGTCTACACTGACTAAAATAATTAACAGACATTTGATATCTGCCCAACTCCCCTAAAACAGCTTTCGTAGACACAAATTTTCCTAAACCTAAATACTTCTTAAAGAACAAGCCCTACAGCTTTTCAGTATCTACTCTCTATGTTTATTCCCAAATTTCCCGCCATAGAGCAAAATAGGTGCTATTTTCGTGTCAAATATGTTCTTAGCCATATCATGAGGTGCGTCATACTTTATCAACGTCTGTTTGACAGGAACGCTCGCTTTCATTGCTGAGACATTCTCAACGACAGAGTTTCACAAGCTTTAGACCACACTAGCCTTGAGGAAAATATGACACCCGAATACTTGTAATAGCTAACAACTTTAATTTCCTGACTATCATAGAACCGTTTCTCTGTAGTTCTAAGATAACCACCATTTCTAAAGACAATGATTTGAGACTTATCTAAATTCACCTCCAAACCCCATTCCAAACAGAATTTATGTAGGGAATCTAATTTTCGTTGCAGCTCTACGACAGAATCATCTACCAAAGTGACATCATCGGCAAAGAGCAGCAGTAAAATGTCGTCCAGTTCCGATTAGACAAATATACCCTTTATACCACTATTTTGCATTTCCTCTACTAGCTCATTTATAAAAAATATAAACAATACCGGACTTACATACACCCCTGTCTGACACCATGTGAGGGTTGTGAATATATCCGACCTATTACTACCAACTTTGACCTTATTATACATGCCTACAGATCTTACCATGAACACCTTACCTATCAGTACATACAATAACTTATCTCTATCTACTAAGTCGAAAGCCTTGCGAAAATCAATAAATGAGGCATAAAACCTATGACCAGGTTTCCTTAGATACTTTTGAACAAGCGACTGTAGAATACCCATAACACTTAATAAAGAAATTCCCCTGTAGTTGCTCGGGCTTTGCCTACCACCCTTCTTATACAAAGGCACAATGATTCCAACATTCCAACTATCCGGAAATATCCCACTATCTAGCATATCTAAAACATGTTTTAAGGAAAATGGCTGTGAATCACCATAATTGTTGGGCATTGGACATGAGATCACATCCCAACCCCAAGGATAGGTACTTGACATACAGTTCATGCTTCTTGGGCGGCTAAAAAAACCAATGGTCTTGAAAGTAATTTTCTTTCAGAGAGCTGTCTTGACTTGAAAAACTATTCGGTAATGTTGACACAATTTCCGTTTCAGTGACTATCAAGTGATCCTATCAGCCTGCGCACGTTCAAGCCATGGCGACAGCCTATGCTAAGTACGTGATTCTTGATATGAATGCTAATGGAAAAACCAAAAAAGGGATGGCAGAGAAAAGAAAGCTTCGCATTGAACATGTCTTAAGGTCAGAAAAACCTCTGGTGGTTTGCCTCCAAGAATTTCTCTGGAAGGGTATTCATTCGAGGGCATGGAAAAAGTTTGATATTCCCGACCATTTTAAGTATGAAGGTCACAAAGAAGCAGGTTTCATATATGATGAGAGGAAAATCACATGCACGAGTATTGACAACCAAAACTGGGTGCGAACCATGATGAGTGGAAATGAGCTGTCAAGACTTTGCGTCTGTAGAATTCAGTTCAAATTGGTTCCTAATCTTGAGATCCTCTGTGTCAGTTGGCATGGCCGTCATAGAGTTTGTAAGCAGGAAAAAGAAAATTCCCTTGATAAGTTGGTAAATTTTCTTCTGAAATTGAATGAGAAATTTAGGAATGTTCCACTCTTGCTTGGGGGAGACTTCAACATACCTGCATCTACTGTGGGGAGAAAACTCCAATCTAATGGCATTCTGATTCTAATGACGCCAGAAGACTCGTCTATAGACATGTTTATCATAAACTCCGATATAACGCGAAAATTTAGCGTTTCGAAAGTTTACACCATGGAAAAAAATAAAGCATTTGACCATTTGCCTTTGAAAATATGTTTAACTGCTGTAGATGACACTAGCCCTGAAAAACAAAAACAAAAAGGGGATCAAGGGCCACAACGCCCTCCCGAAGAACAAACAAAGGATGAAGGGCCACAACGTCCTCCTGAAGAACAAACAGGGGACGCAGGGCCTCAACGCCCTCCTGAAGAGGAAACAGGGGACGAAGGGCCACAAGGTCCTCCCGAAGAACAAACAAAGGATGAAGGGCCACAACGTCCTCCCGAAGAACAAACAAAGGATGAAGGGCCACAACGTCCTCCTGAAGAACAAACAGGGGACGAAGGGCCGCAACGCCCTCCTGAAGAGGAAACAGGGGACGAAGGGCCACAACATCCTCCTGAAGACCAAACAGGTGACGAAGGGCCACAACGCCCTCCTGAAGAACAAACAGGGGACGAAGGGCCACAACGCCCTCCTGAAGAGGAAACAGAGGCGGGAGGGCTACAAGGTCCTCCCGAGAACAAACATGGGATGAAGGGCCACAAGGTCCTCGTGAAGACCAAACAGGGGACGAAGGGCCACAACGTCCTCCTGAAGCGGAAAGACGGGACGAAGGGCAACAAGGTCCTCGTGAATCCAAACAGAAAACTAAAGGCCAAGAAGGAATGAAAAAGGCAAAGGGTGCATAAAGATAAGGTCCCAAAGAGTATGAACTAACAAATGACTAATTTTCAAGTGTATTACCCTGATAAATACCCTATCCATTTGCTACCGAAGCTCCAAAAGAACAAATCGGGATGGCACAGTCTAGTGTTGATGCTCTTAAGTGGATTCTTACATCAGTCATAGGCTACTTGGGACCAATATAACCCAGAATCCCTACAAACAAGGGTTGTGTTGATTCAAATGTGTTTGAGAACATTTCATAGCAAAGGGGTATCCCTCTCATCCTGTATGGAGGTATTCTGATTCAATAATGTAGTTAGACAGTGTTGCAAACTCCCCAAAAGCTCAGCCAGACAACGGGTCTGGTAACTCTCAAAAGTTACCAGACCGGTTGGAAAGTTGCCAGTCCAGACTTTTCTGGATTAAGAAAAATAAAAAGAATGTAAATAACAGGATGGAACTGTTTAATGTCAGGTTATTGTCACAATAACACATGTTTTCAAATCTGTTTCAGTCAAGGCTTTAGCAGTTTAGTCATCATATTCAAAGTCAGATTCGTCCAAATCTGAAAAAACAGAATCATAGTCTGAATCTGAAGGGGGTGCAGATTTAGAACTTCCCCCTGCAGTAGGCACTTCTTCATCTTGAGGCACTTCAACTTCACTCAAATGATGCTCTAGAGTATTCAGTGAAACTGAATTCCGGACCCGCTTTGATTTGTTCCACTTATGTATAGAGTGTGTTGGGTCAAAGTCAACAATTGCCTTTGAGTGAAGTTGGATTGTCATCAAGAGTGTCATTGATGAGCTGCTTAGCTTGTTTCTGTATTGAGACTTGGTGAGTTTCATTTGTGAAAATCCTCTTTCGCATTCAGCACTGGAAGATGGTAGAGACAGAATCAAATCTATTACCTCCAGGATGTTAGGACACCTCTCTCCCGTGACGTTTGTTGATTGTGGCCCAATTCAAGTTAGCCTCATGGACCTGATCACTGAAAAATAAAAATGCCCAAATAATGACTTTGTAATGTTAAATTCTAGACATTATACGAATATGAGCTCTTCCTAACCTTTTATACAAAGCCTGTTTCAGGGCTGTCCATTCTTCTTCAGCCGCAGCTAGGTCCACCCCTTTCCTCTCTAAGGTGTCATGGAAGTGATCCAACAATTTCATGAGGCAATCATCACCAAAATCTGCAAACATGAATCACTTTAAAGTTTTTATTAATCCTGAACTGAAGTCATTTGTGTCATCCATATAATACTGATATCACTATTCTGCCTAATTACATCATGCAAAATCAGGTAATACTTCACAGTTTTCAATTATAGTAAAAACAATCAATTTTGAAGTTATCCTATTCAACACATAACAAAGACACAAAAGGCAAAAGCAGATAATTATAATATCAAAAGGGAAAAAAGCTGAACATTTTAAGATGTTTCCACCATACATGTTACAGAACATTTTGCATATCATCTTTAATATTTACTAGTAATAAATTTAGTCAGACAACATGCCAAATTGGAATTAAGTGAAGGGATAAAGTACATTAAGTAAAGACAAGACATAGTCGAGACACCTCATTGGTACTAAGTTTGGAATAAGTTCAATAACTATTAGAATTCATATCAGTACTGAACAACACACACACACACCCTTAGCATCTTCAGAGCTGGTAGGCCAAGAGTTAAGGTCAGCCAACTTGGTTGCACTGAAAATACCCTTGTCAAGATCATCAAATCTTCTCTGAAGGCAGCTGACTAGACCTTTAATTACTCTGGCTGACTGTGCATCATGTTCAGATGTATTTCCTGTCAAACCTTCACCTTCAAACGTGTCTGAGGAAGCAACTTTTCTCAGTTCAAATCCATCTCTGAAATGCCACCACCATATTCTAAGAGCTACTTGACAGAAGAACACAACAGGAAACAGACAGAGAATACAAGCAGGGTGTAGGATTAGAATATATTTGAGATGCTGGTGTTTGAATGCACTAGATATTACTAATTATATGCATTCATATGGTCAGTACACAAAAGCAGAGACTAACTGTGTTTACAGAAAGGATAAGCATTAGCAGGGAAAGGATTGCAAAGCCAGGTCACTACAAACATACAAGTTAAAAGATTATATTTGGTCACTTGACATGCATACCTTTCCCCCAGCTTGTTCAGGTTGATAAGTGTAGTTTCAAGCTGTCTATGGACCTGGAAGACACATCCTTTTCGTTCCTGGAGTTGCTTGGAAAGGCGAGCCAAAACACTGATCACATCTACAAGGAAGTGGGCAAAGAAGATAATACTCTTTGACTTCAACTTTTTGATGAAGTTGATCGCCTTAGACTGAGGTGCTGACTGGGAACGTATCTGAGAAACCTGAAACAGACATAAATATTTAAGTAAACTATCAGAGTACTACTGTCGTACTGAACTATAAATAAGTCTGATATTAGTATCATGATGATGTTTACAAAAAGGAACATAACTGTGAATGTCATAAACGCAAGTTAAGAAAGGACATTGTACTAACTTTCTTTGCTCAAATATTTTTCAACAGATATCAAGCAAGAATGTTCAGTTTAATGTACACATATATCTCAATGTATTCACAAAGAAACACATTCTGACAATTGTAATTATATATCGTGTACTGACAATTGTAATTATATATCGTGTACTATCTGATTATTAGTATATTACTATCTATTACTTATGTGTACTATCAAGGTTGCTATAACTGTAGAAGAAGAAGAAGAAGAGCTTTATTCAGTATTTATGGCCACATGACCAAAAGTACAATTCAATAAGCAAAATATAGCACATGGTCAGGAGAACAATTTACAATTTATACAGGTAAATATAGTTTAAGATAAATTGCAATATTTTTTAGGAGTTTTACATTCTTTGTTGCAAGCAGCTGGGTAAACTTTGATCTGGTTGGAGATATAATATAAAAATCAGGAATGTACTAAGAGCGACATACGAGTAAGAAATGATACTCATCTTGTATCAAATTACAATTACATTTATCACATTTAATGGAATCAGCATTTACCTTATTAAAACGGTTGTGTTGAATTTTAAGTTTATGACTCATGCATCTGAACTTAAATAAAACTCATAAAAGATCTTTATCATAGCAAAACTCTGATATATATTTTTCCGGTTCAAGTACAGATTTATATGACGAGTAATGATTTAAGAATGATGAAGAAGTGATTTTTGCATACCAATTCTGTATATCTATATCTTTACATCTCTGTTTAAAACATTTATAAAACTTGTTACATCGCCACAATCTTGCGATAACCACACAAAAGAAAACCCAGAGTGAAATAAAAGTAAACGTACATGGGATACCCAATTGCGAACACCATTGTCGTCGTATGTTTTAACATTTCATAGCATGCCTTTGGAATACGATAACTTTCCATATTCAGGAGTCTACACCAGTACTTTATACAACGGGTGAAATACTGTACACAAAGATGGCTTCTACCTGTTTCACTGAGTACAATATTTGAAGATACAGTTTTGCTAACACGAAGATATCTTTTCAAATAATAACTTTGTATTTTTTCAATGTTTGCACGATAGGTAAACCCCATATTTCTGCACCATAAAGCAGAATCAGTTGCAATTTTTGCTATCAAATATAGTAGATGCCACATTCAAAGAGATATTTTGATAAGTTCTGAAAAGAGAAAATATCGGAAATGAAGCCTTCCTAGCTTGTAAAGCTAATGTTTCACATGCTTTAGACCAGTACAATTTTGATGTGAAAACAATGCCAAGATATTTATAATGAGATAAAACCTTCATGTTTGTACCATCATAAAGCCATTTTTCGTTATTTCGAAGATAGCCACCATTCCTGAAAACAATAATGCAGGATTTATCTAAGTTAACTTCTAGACCCCATTTGATACAAAATGATTTGAATGTATCCAGCTTTTTTTGTAAACTGTAAGTTACTATAAAAAGAGCCTTAATTGTTAAACTTTTATATGTATAAATTTACCTTGCTCAAATGAAAAACCAGGGCTCTGTATCCTTTCAGCATGTTCTTGACCGCTAGTAGCATATGGCCCACCCACCTCGTACCCCCAACTCGAGTAGGCATGGAGAACTGCAGTTTCAAAGTCTCAAAGACTGATTTTAGTTCCGACTTCTGTTTAGCACTTTTGTAGAATTTGAAGATATCATCCAGAAGTTCAACAACCTTAGAAAACAGGGGAACATTTTTCATAGCATCTTTCAAGCCCAGTTCAACACGGTGTGCCATGCACTGAATCATCAAAATAGACGGATTGATCCTGCCTTGAAATAATGCAATGACACCATTCAGTTTACCAGTATTTACTGATGCTCCATCTCCAGCAAAGCCGACAATATTTTCCTGTATCTCCTCAGTTAAGTGTTTGTTGAAATGCAAAGATTCCATTATTGCTGAGTAAATTCCACTAGCACTGGCACATTCAGTCTCCACCATCCCTAGGAAATAACAGTGATATGCTCCTTGTCTGGCAAAGTGGACATAAACCCCCTCGTTCTCAACACCCGAGACATCTGTTGATCCATCAGACATGATGGTACAGTAATTCGTCTGAGCCAACTCATCTTCAATTTTCTGGCGCTCAACTTCAGCTATTGAAACCATGAACTCCTTGCATGACGTACGGTTGCTGTATGTAGGTCCTAGATCCACACCCAGCTTCCCTTCCAAACAACACATCCACTCATAATCCAGAAATGGGCCTTGAATTTTTAGCAATGCTATGTATGCAACTCTGAAAAGTTTCTCTAGTCTTTCGAAAACGGCACTATTTAAAGTTTGAAGACTTTTTTCCGCTGGGCTGAATTCTGCATTGTGTGACTTCATATTGACGTGCAAAATTGTGTCCGTCCGATTTTCCATGCGTGACAAGAGAATCACGTCTTAAATTACTGGAACCTACAACAAAAGGTCCTGATGCATACTTATGAAACTTATCTGTTACTTTCCTGGTACTGAGTGGGCCATACACCGATCTACATGTTTTACAATATATTCTTTCGTGAACCTCGTCGGTTATAATCCATGGAAAATCTGTCTTCCACGAAAGAACAATTAAACGTTTCCTCTTTTTTTCATACTCTTTATCTTTCTCAGCTTGAGTCTTGCGTTTGTGGGCAGCTGGAAGTCCTAAAAATTGTCGCAGCATGATATAAAAGGCCAAGCTGATAATCAAACAATACGGAAAGCATGCCATTGCCTGGACGTCGCCATGCTGTAAACTTCAACCAGAGCTCCTTACACCGATATAGGCATCGCATGTCTAGAGCGTACTCAGTAATGCACTGTTATGAGTGCAGGTCTAGATCTAAAACGGGCTCTGGCCGGATAGATTTAATTTCGATCACTTGGCCAATGACGAATGAGGACAGAAACACGATTTTTATGTCAGGGAAGAAACTTTGATCTTAATTGGTTAGGTTACATTACAAAATTACACTGATTTAACAGCCAGACCATCGGGCGTGCAACTTCTTAAAACTGACCGTCCGGTCGCAAAACAGACCGTCCCGGACGGCCGGGAAGGCGGGAGTTTGCAACGCTGATTTAGAGGATTCAATCATAAATGTGCTTAATTTCGAGTGTTGACCTATGCTGAAGGACTGTTTGATTAGTTGGTAACTTGCAGTACAATGGAAAAGAGTAGTCAACAGTGAGTGGTAGAATGGAGTGGCGGATGGGTCCTGAGAATCTAGCCTTATGGAATAGAGGCATTAAACAATGGATAATGAAAGATATTTAAGATCGATATGGTACAATCAGGATTAGATAAGTCAGGAAGAGGAAGTGATGGATGCTGTCCTTGTCAAGGTGACAGGTATAAGCGCCTGCATGAGACTATAAGATCCTAAGAGAATAACTGATGTGTTCATTTCAAGAAACAAAATTTTGCTGCACCAATTTATGTTTGTGTTTGTTCAAGTGATTGCTGTCAAACTTCATACCTGATTTGAAACTTTAGCCTAGGGAAAGAAACTTTAGCCTAGCCCAAACTTTTTCCCGGGTATGAATTTCCCAGGACAAAACTTCCCCGGGGAATGTTTGGCCTAGGTCAGATTCTCCCCGGGGAAAGTTTAGACCGGGGAAGAAATGGCCTGCCCGGATCTTCACGGGTCGCCTCTTGAGAGGCTGTTGGGTAACTTAATGGTAAAAGCGTTCGATCATCACGTCTAAGACCAGTGTTTGACTCCCCATGTGGGTACAATGTGTGAAGCCCATTTCAGTCGTCCCTTGCTGGATATTGCTGGAATATTACGAAAAGCGGGTTTAAACCATACTCACTCACTGATACTTCTTAATCAGTAAATCAGTTCTGCATTAAAGTGTCGAAATTGTGCCGCCAGTGTTTCTTTAGGAGGTACTTCAAACTTATTGGATATCTCATGTTGTGTAAAACATTCTAAATTGAAACAGACATACAGAAGCAAATGTTTCAGTAACATTTTGCTGTTATTATTTTTATAAATAGATATGTATTCTGATAAGTTAAATATTGTTTGTTTATGATTGGGTCTTTACATTGAAATTGAGTTTGAATGTTCTTTTGATAAAAACGAAAATAATAGGAAGGTTCTCCAATAAATGTAGAGGAAAAACTGATTTCATTGTCTTTATCGAGTTTTGATAAATGTTTTATTATTACTATTTCCATCACGACTGTAAATAAAGTTCACTTCAGTTCACTTCAGATATCAGCCATGTTGGGGGTCAAGAGGAAGTCTCGCGGCAGTGTTGTATAGTGAAGCGGTCATAGAATCAGACGCATTTTCAGTCCTAATTGATTATGTCTAATTTAATAGATTGTTTACATTTGAGCATTTCACTTAGTAATGGTAGAATGAAGGATTACACCCACTTATTTTTTTCTTGAAATATGATATACTACCGTCCACATGTATAAATGATTGATTCCATATTGTCTTCAGATGGTGCATGCTTTGTGCATTGATAATTTGGATGCATAAGATGGTGTGTAAAACTGTCGTGATTTGTGAAGAAAAAAAAGAAAATGTTCAAGTATCCATTACATTATTCCGATATTTGATTTGAATTGTAATACATGTCATATCTGCATATACTAATTTCATTCAGTATTTTCAATCAAGTTATTCTCTATAACATCTGTTCACTTCTCAGATTGATACAACCCGAGACAGATCCTATTTGAGACATGTTCCTGTATTTCAAATCTTGTGTTTTCTGGTCCTCGGATACAAATGTACTCAATTATTATCTCTCATTGATGTTGTATTGTTGTATTATTGATGTTTATACCTATTTGTATAATCGTTATAGTGAGTGAGTGAGTTAAGATTTTAAGTCACATCGGCAATATTTCAGCCATATCGTGACTATGAACAAGTTGTGAATTCACCATAAATACATATAAATTATAAAAACCTGCCGACGAAGGACAGTAAAATCAACCAGAATATCACAGTATCAAAGAATAAAACTAGTAACTCTCTCTAAAACTGGATTTCAAATTAGGACAACACAGTATAAAAATGGGTTATAGATCGCCAACAACTAAATTATATCTGCATCTGCTAATTTTATCAGTATTTTCAGTCAGGTTATTCTCTATAACATCTGTTTCACTTCTCAGATTGGTACAACCCGAGACAGATCCTATTTGAGAGATTTTTCTGTATTCAAATCTTGAGTTTTCTGGTCCTCAGATACAAATGTTCTCAATTATTATCTCTCATTGATGTTGTATTGTTGTATTATTGATGTTTATACCTATGTGTATAATCGTTATAGACTTGACATACTTATGTATAGGCTTGAGCTTAAGTCATTGGTCAGTCGCAAGGGACGACATGCTCTACAACAGGATGGGCATGTATAACCAGGATATTTATTACAAAAACTTATAGATAGATGTGATAAAGATTTTAGGAAAATCTGAAGTCAAGTTAAGAAGGGTCAATGTACTTGGAAAATGCATTGACCAGAGTAAAGAAATCATACTAATTCATTTCTCTTGCAAATAACAAATATAATATTGGAAATGAGTGGATTGGATCGGGTGACTCATATACCCTTTAGGAAATTAATGGTCAGCGAGGATGCTAGAAATTGGAAAAGGAACACGTACCCCTAGGGGTTGGATTGAGTTGAAGAAGTATCATCTGGCGCCTACCTGTCTGGAGTAATGTTTTGTTTTGAATGCTTGACCATTGACTTAAGCTAATTACTTAAGCAATTTTATACCTGGGAGAATTTTATGGTATCGATTAATTCCTGTAAATGTCATAATGGGATTTTCTTGTTGTTTAGTTGGGATATGACTCATTTTTGTATGCGGAAGGACATAATTTTGGGCCAAAATTGTCATCAGTACTATTTTGTTAGTTGTCCGGTGAGTGGTGCGGACAACTAACCCACCGTTGACTGAAGAGGTTTTCTCTGTATATTGAGAGAATGGTCCAGATGAAGTAGAAAATTTAACAGTTTTATAAGAGAATCGTCGTTCGTTTTAGATGTTTTACGTCGGCTTCAGGCTGGGGCCTATGTCACCCTTCCAGGAATTCAGGGAATCTGTGTAGTTGTATAGATCAAGTAATATGTGAGGACTATTGTGCCATAACTATTCCAAAATAAGGGATTTGAACAGCACACCAGACTTGTTGAAATTATTTCAGCTACATCATCCCCAGACCAGAAGAAGGGTCAGACTGAGATCTTGAGTGACTGGGGAGAAGGGTACAAAACCCAGACACCCGAAGGAACATACAGAAAAACACTGGTTCTGCCCCACAGGCCAATGTTAGATGAGTGAGAGGTTTCAAGTGAGTGAGAAACATGTTTTCAGTGATGAAACTAAAATCCAGAAATGTGAAAACTGTTATCTGAAGGAGTGCTCAGAGTATTTTTAGCCGCTTTTAAATCATTTCACTGCAGCCCCCAGTGGTGGGCTTCACACATGCCTTGATTCAAACCGGGCATGACGAGCGAACTTCTTTGAAGAATAATAACAAGACCTTCCAGATGCATTTGAGCTGTGGTACCTGACATACATGAGCGAAGAAAGACCTTCCAGCATACCACATTCATAGAGAAAGCACTATATTCACCAAGGTTAAGCTGCAGTTCAAGCGCATCTAAACACAAAGGTTCAAACATTATGTAAATTTACTATGGTTACTTTGCTTACATGAACCAGAACAGTGAGTGAGTTTAGTTTTACGCAGCACTCAGCAATTTTCCAGCTATATAGCCCCGGTCTGTAAGAAGTCGAGTCTGGACCAGACAATCCAGTCATCAACAGCACAAGATCGATCTACGCAATTGACATACGATGACATGTATCAACCAAGTCAACGAGCCTGACCACCAATGGTTACTGAAAATCAATTCTAATCCGGATCATAACAATTCGTACACAGCACCACAATTATAAAGATCTGCATGTGAATGAAGATTAATATTAATGTGTCATTTGGTTGCATCCAGCATTACCCAAGAGTGAAAGGTTTGTTTGATGATCAAGGCTCGTCGCTAAATGACGGTGGTCTGTTAATAATTGAGTCCGATCCGAACCAGACACTCCTGCTAATGCATCGCAAAGGGGATACGAAAAGATTCAGGGATCAAGTCAACGGGTCTAACTACCAAATGTTGCTGAAGGCCATTTACGACCCAGATCTTCACGGCGCTTTAAAACCCATATACTTCGAGGCTGTAGTAACTTAGAACTGCGTGAAAGAATTAAGAAACTGGAGCTAACCAACAGGACTTCAAGAAAACATGTTTGAATATAAGACTTATAATCTAACCAATTTGTAAAAATATCACCTACACCTGGACCAATATTGTAAATCCAGCCCCAGTATGATGATCAAACTTCAGTTGCTAATATTTCAGTGCGTTTTATATTGTATTGTACAAATCATCTAATTCAGTCCTAGTTCCGTGCTAGTTTACATTCTCTGTGTGATAATTTATTTACTGTCTTTGACGACGACTGTATCATAAAACTTCATAAATGATCAATAGGTTACTTGTTTTAATCACGATATGGCTGAAATATTGAGATGTGATTATATATTTTAACTCACTCACTCTTGAGTTCCACTGTAGCGGACGCAGGCTGTCTTAGAAGGTATCTTTACACAATAGGCAAATTGTTAGCATTTGTAACACCGGAGTGTGTTACACCTCCACAACGATGTTGAAATATCCAGATTTCATACATTTCATATATTAGAGTTTGAACCGAAAATAATGGTAAAGGTAGGTGTTTGTTTTAACTACAATTATATCATCTTGTGTTTTTCTTGTGACATGCTTGGCAGTGTTTAGCAGAGCAAGATGCTTTCATCCCCATGTGTGAGAGACAATGAGCTCTGTCTATGACAATACCACGTCACGACCCGTGAAGATCCGGGTAAGAATTGATCTTCAGTAACCCATGCTTGTCGTAAGAGGCGACTCACGGATCGGGTGGTCGGCCTCGCTGACTATGTTGAAATATGCCATCGTATCTTAACTGCATACATCGATGCTCATGCTGTTGATCCCTGGATTGCCTGGTTAAGACGGTTTTATTTACAGACCGCCGCAATATAGCTGGAATATTGCTGAGTGTGGCGTAGAACTAACTCATTCACTCACTTTTACGACACCACCTCAGCGTCAGAGACAAAATACCCAGCAGACAGACAGAATACGCCTCCCTGCACATTCCACTAAGATCAAACAAATTTGAAGGCGGTTTACATATTTCACTTTCTGAAATGAAATGATTTTGGATTACATTTTAATAATACATCAGAAAATGCCATCTTAGTGAACAAAGGCCAAGGATATTTAACTTAAGAATGAACCCCTTCGTCTGACCCGACATGTCGGAAACATGGTATACAGAAACCTGTTCTCAAACCTTTCACTGAATGTCGACAAGGATAATGTGGAAACCTGCAACAAAAGGCATAGAGAGTCCTTATACTCCAGCAAGTGCTGAGTTTGAACAGCGATATGATCCACAACAATAAGTGTCAGGCTGGTTCGGCCCATAAGAATGTTGCTACGCATGACTGACCTATCAGACACTGCCTTCTGCCTTTAGACTCTGGGCAAACTCAAAATGTAACATAAAAAATATTACATTACCATTGTCATTGTAAAAATAGAAATATCACTGTTAATTCTATTTATTGAAACGTTGTCGAAAGGCATGTATACCATGCTAAGGCACGACATAACCTGTATCCCAATTGAACCTTTCCAGTTCTATCACCCGTTCTTGCAATAAGGGTCGAGGTTGAGTGTTGGGACGAAAGTTACCTTGTTCCCAGTTCCCCAAGGCACCCGACTGCTGTCCTCCAACGACAGGAGGCACAATCGACTGTTGCAGAACGTATTCGTCTTGACAGCTAGCAATCATTATGGTGTGACTGAAACCATTTCCTCAATGGATTGACGTAACCATAAAAATAGCTCTCCAACAAAGTATGTGTGCCCCAGAACCCGAACTGTACAATCCAATGAACTGAACTCATAAACCCAACATACATGGAACAAATGTGTGTGGCCCATCTCAGGTGTCCCTCACTGTGTTATTTCTGGAATACTGCTAAACTCTACGGAAAAGTGTACTCGCCCACCAATTGTTGTTTATCACTTAGGAATGCCCTATATGTTTAATGACCAGTATATGATGAGGTCAGATCGGATAAAATGCGAAATGTGAGGCGGAACTTTTGTGAGCACTCCAAACACAGAAACTGGTTTTCAGTGAACATGTTTATCAAATACAGAGAAGTTTTGCTCAAAGTGGAAGTCGATGGGCGACAATGGAGTGTTGAAACTATGAACGTAGAGAAAATACTCCAAATAGACCAAGTTCCCAAAAGCTGCTCGTTATGTTTCCTGCTTGATCCAGGTAAATTCCCGCGACACCTCTCTCCCTTCCCTTCACAACCGTCTACAGGTAGTTTTATTAAACTATACATTTGCTTGACTGACGGGATCTGACTCATTCATGTTAACGTTTACCAACTGCTCATGACAATCACCGGATTGTCTGGTCCTGACTACACTGAGTGCGGCGTTAAACAAAAGAATTTATTTCAATTTTTAATAAAACGATCCAAGAACTAAAAAATGCACTGCAACAAATGATTAATGCAATAAAAGTGTAAAAAATACCATTGTTGTAACATTTGTAATGTAAAGACATATGCTTAAAGGTTCTAATACAATTATCAAAGAACAAATAAATCAGTTTAGGGTATAAAAGAGAGTTTATGGCAAATGGCCAGTTCAACACACCCCCTCAAATGTAGTTAAATATTTAATAATGATTTCTATGCATCTGACAGTTAAAAGCTAACGTTTTACAATTGTGCTGTCATGTCTAAAATCGGAATACTGACGGCAAGCTATAAGTATGTGTACGCATTGTTCAACATTCAGGTAAGGACTTGCCCACGGCTATTTATAGATCATAACGCAAACACTTGATCTGAGACAGAAGCTTTCTATTTTCAGTTTGAGAAGAGATTGTTTGAAAAGGGATTGTTACTGCTTCTTTGATATTTTACATACCGAATCATTTTCTTGGATTTGCATGTAAGTATGGAGTATATTGTGTAAACTGAAAAAGTTTAGATATGAGGTCAATTGGACAAGGAAGTAACAGGAAGAGAGCTTTTACTGGTAAATGATGTGTGTGTGTGTGTGTGTGTGTGTTTGTTTGTTTGTTTGTTTGTTTCACTCGTATTAGGGTAAAGAGACCTATGATATGGAGATTCAGTGTGTGTGTGTGTTTCGGATTTATGAGGACATTGTATTTTGTTCAGAACATTCCATGTGTGTGTTAATTTTTCATTTTCAGCGATAATATTGAAAATCAGATTTTAACTATTTTAAATGTCTATCCAAGCTGACTTTAGAAGATGGTGCCTATCTAAGCTATCTAAGTGAATTCCTTGATGTAGCACCATAGTCCCTGTCTTTTAGGATCTCTCTGCAGCAGTTAAAGTGTTACCCAGTAATTAGTACACCTTCCACCCTCCTAGATTCATGTTGATACTAGTGTATTCTGTTCAAAGCAGCATTAAACCAAACTAACTCACTCACTAATTTCATTTAGACAAAAATGGCTGACGAATGACGACAAAAAGGTTTCAAAAGTTGCTTATGTGGTGGACATGTTGAAAATCTGAAATAATTTAGGGTATAGGCTTTGTGGGGACAATCACATACAGATTCAGATTCAATGATACTGGAGAATGCCTGACTAAGAGACTGTGACATAAACAAAATATGTAATGGAAAGACTGAAGCATCAACAGTCAGAGCTCCATCACTTTGACAAAAACAGAGGACCTCTGGTATGTGCTCTCAAAGACCATTGTGATTCTAAGATGTAACAAGGATTGTTTGTTGTTTAATACTGCAACATCCTAGCTATAATATATGGTGGTATTATGTAAATAATCGAGTCTGGACCAGACACTCCAGTGACTGACATTCTGCACCTCAATCTATGCTACTGGGCAACATGCATCGACCAAGTCAGCAAGTCAGACCATTCAGTCCCCTTGCATCTTTTGACAACATTGGTTGTGGGAGAACAGTTTCTAAGTCTGATCGATGTGCAAATGTTATGTATAGTGGTCCCAACATAACACGATCCTTTTTTTTTATAGAATATCTAGGTGCCTCTAACTCTGACATTTCAATGTATTTCTGCCCAGTATGTTCGACACCTCACTTAATATTCCAACAATATTCTGAAAGTGAGTAAATGATAAACCCAAAACAACCAGTGATATTATGAGGAAAAACACATAGGGTGCATGCTGCTTCATACCTGTCTGTGGAGCTCAGATCCATCAATGTGCCTTGTGTGACCACCGTGGGTTACTAGGCAGTAATTCTAACCATATGTGACCACCATAGGCTACTAGGCAGCAATTCTAACCTTGTGTGACCACCATATGTTTACAAGGCAACAATTCTAACCTTGTGTGACCAACATAGGTTACTAGGCTCCAGTGCTAATGATTTGTGTGTGTATGATTTGTTGCTCTTTAGTTGTTTAACACCTGACGATGTAATTTACAGACTGACATCATATAGCTGGAATATTTTGAAGTGTGGAGTCACACAGCAAATGAAAGTATTGAAATAACAGAACAATCTAGTTGTCTAAAACTATGTTTTATTGAAACTGCCGTGAATCACCATAATTGTAGGACACTTGACCTCTTCAGATCAGATCCTCACCCAAAGGATGGGTACCTGACATACAGTTCATGCTTGTATAGTGGCAAATAGAATGAATGGTCTTGAAAGTTATCTTTTTCAGGGAGGTGTTTTGACTTGAAAAACTATTCTGTAATGTTGACACAATTTCTGTTTCAGTGACTGTCCAGTGATCCTATCAGTCTGCGTACATTCAAGCCATGGCGACAGCCCCTGTTGAGTATGTGATTCTAGATATGAATGCTAATGGAGACACCACAGCAGGGATGAGAGGGAAAAGAAAGCGTCACATTGCAGATGTGTTACAGTTAGAAAGCCCTCTGGTGGTTTGCCTACAAGAATTTGTCTGGACGGGTATTCATTCGAGCGCATTTAAAGACATTGATGTTCCCGACCATTTTCAGTATGAAGGCCACAATGAAGCAGGTTTCATATTTGATACAAGGGAAATCACATACTCAAAGATTGACAACAAAACATCAGTGCGAAACATGTATGACAACATGGTGAGGAGAAGTGACATGGGCTCAGACTACTTTGAGCTGCCAAGACTTTGCGTCCGTCAAATAAAGAGCAAAGGGGCTCCTAATTTTGTGATCCTCTGTGCCAGTTGGCATGGTCCTCATAAGGTGTCTATGGAGAAAAAGAAAAAGGCCCTTGACACGTTGGTCAAGTTTCTTCTGAAATTGAAAGTGGAAGAGGGGGATGTTCCGCTCTTGCTTGGGGGTGACTTCAACATGGGAGTATCTGATGTAGAGAGATGACTCCCTGGTGCTACTTACGCCAGATGACTTGTCTAAAGATATATTCATCATGAACTTCGATGTAGCGCAAATATTTAGCATTCCAAAAGTTCAATTCAGCATTTGATCATTCGCACTTGAAAATATATTTAAAAACTGTTAATGACACTAACCCTCAACCTCTGCCTCCATTTCCACCGTTTGTTCAGATCCAATTCCTCCCCACTCAACCATCATATCCTCTGCCTCCATTTCCGTTTGTTCAGACCTACTTCTTCAACACTCAACCATCATATGCTTTGCGTCCAGTTCAACCGTTGTTCAACTCTTAATCACAATGTCATCTGCCTCCACTCATTCGTTTTTGAAAATGACTCATATATGTTCTGAACAAACATTGTCACCAAGGAAGAAGAAAACATCGCCACAGCTGAAGGTGATGAGACGATAAGTGAGCAGCCAAGCCGGAGGAGGAAAAACAGAGACAAAGCAGACGGACATCGGCGTTTTATTTTTCAATTCACCCCACCCCACCCGCACAAACGCTTTTTCAATAATACCCCAAACTTCTAAACCCCCATTAAACGCTTCAACCCCCCAACATTTTATATCAGCGCCCCTTTTTGGAATATCACACCGGGGAATAAATCCTCGGAACGGCATGTTTTACTGAAAAAGGAGAGAGAGAGAGGGTACGGGCGGAACTCTTTACGTCGTCGTAGCCGTGGCCTCCGTGTTATGCCCTGATCCTGCCTCCGGTGTCAACAACGAACCACGTGCGTTTGTTAACATATGATTTGTGCGTGTCCGAGATGTACTCACTGGCGATCTGGGGAAATCAGAGGGCTTTCCAGCTATCTGAACATTGTCTCGGTTGTCTCTGTCATACATAAATATGGCACCATCAACAAGCCGATTTGACGCATCTTTACTAACCTGTTGGAACCAGGGCGCAAGTTGACGCCTTTACTCTCTCACTCGCTTAGTGATTTGATGATTTTGGAATGTGCTCTCTTTTTTGCTTTTACAAAGACTGCACTTTTATCGCCGGTTTAAAAAAAATCACTATAACCGGTGAGCCGCGTAAACCCAGGGTTCAGTCTATGAGCTCTCACGATCACAATATTGTTAACCTCCTTGCTGCCCATGCAAAACATGTCCGTCATGAAAGCACGGACTTTTTCCTCCGACTGTGGTCATGTTTCTCCTGTCGTTTCACCCAGACCGTGAAATACTTAAATTATCTATCAAAATGCATCCTTAATTATACCAAATTAACAACAAAATGTTACTAAAATATTTGCCTCTTGGTAATCGGTATGTTCTTTCCACAACATGAGATATCCAGTAAGTTTGAAGCACTTCCTAAAGAAGAACTGGCGGCAGAACTTGGACACTTTTACGCAGAACTGATTTACTGATTAACAAGAGGCAAACAGTGAGTGAGTATGATCTTATGCCGCTTCAAGCAATATCGAGCAATATCACAGCAAGGGACACCAGAAATGGGATTCACACATAAAAACTTAATGTTCTGACAATTCCATGCATTTCTGCCCAGTATGTTAAACACCTCACTTAATATTCCAACAATATTCTGAAAGTGTGTAACTGCCTCAAACCATAAACAACCAGTGAAAGATATTATGAACAAAACAACTTGGGGTGCTTCTTGCTCCACACCTAAATCTGAGATCCATCAACTTTCCTTGAGTGACTAGGCTACTAGGTACCGATTCTAACATTGTGTGACAAGCATATATTACCAGGCACCAATCCTGATATTGTGTGACCACCATAGGTTACTAGGCACCAAATCTAACCTTGTGTGACCACCATAGGCTACAAGGCAGGAATTCTAATCTTGTGTGACCACCACATGTTACTAGGCACCAATTCTAACCTTGTGTGAACACCATAGGATACTAGGCACCAAGTCATGCCACCATTAGTTTCTAGGTACCAATCCTACCCTTCTGTGATCACCTTAGGTTTTTAGGCTCCAATTTTACCCTTGTGTGACAACCATTTGTTACTAGGCATCAATTGTAGCCGTGTATAATTTGTTGTTCTTTTGTGGTTTAACTCCTGACAATGAAATTCACAGACTCACGTCATATAGCTGGAATATTTTGAGTGAGTGAGTGATTTAATATTTATCGCCACATCGGCAATATTTCAGTCATACCGTGACGAGAACAATCAATTATTATAGTAAACATAAAAAAATTTAGAAATTAAAAACCTGTTGACGATGAACAATAAATACTAGAATATCACAAAGAAAGTAAACTAGCATGTAATCATAAAACGATATTATTATAGAAAACAATACAATATAATAACGGGCTATGGATCACCAGCAATTGAAGGTAGATCACCATACTAGGGACTTACATTACGTTTGCTACCTGCATGCACCCTAGCTGGATTTACATCATACCTTCAGGTGTTGGCGATTGTTTAGTAAAATAGCCATACATTAAAAGAACAGCTATGATACTTTTAAAATTCGGAGAAAGAAAAATACTTTGACTGAAAAGGGACTTACGTACCGGAATATTTTTAAGTGTACAGAGGCGGGCCTACGTTTAGAATACAGCACCACAAACTTTAAAAATACGTCATAATACCCTTTTACGTAATGTAATGTGATTTTGTTCGAAAGCACGTTCTCGAAACAATGCCTTATGACGCCTGCATGGCAACACGGTTGTCTGGCTCAGCGAATGCGTATAAACTCCGCTCACTGGTGTTTCATCTCTACGAGCTATGTCATTGCATAAGCCCAACGATGTTGAGAGTTTCCAGTAGTTGTATACCAGCGGATGCGCAATATTTGCAAGCACCAGTTTGAAATTTTTTCTTTTTTCACTAATACGCTCATATTTATTTGTATTACGGGCTGCTGAGGTGTTATGTTTTGTGTATTTTGTAATTGTTTTAATTTACATATACATTTTGGCCTACCTTTAGAATACAGCACCACAAACTTTAAAAATACGTCATAATACCCTTTTACGTAATGTAATGTGATTTTGTTCGAAAGCACGATCTCTAAACAATGCCCTATGACGCCTGCATGGCAACACGGTTGTCTGGCTCAGCGAGTGCGTATGAGCTCCGCTCACTGGTGTTTCATCTCTACGAGCTATGTCATTGCATAAGGCCAACGATGTTGAGAGTTTCCAGTAGTTGTATACCGGCGGATGCGCAATATTTTGCAAGCACCAGTTTGAAATATTTTTCTTTTTTCACTAATACGCTCATATTTATTTGTATTACGGGCTGCTGGGGTGTTAAGTGTTGTGTATTTTGTATTTTGTAATTTTTTAAATTTACATATATATTTTTGTCATTCAGTAAGTTGCACCATTACATAGAAAAGTGTTTTATTAGTATTTTTTATTTCGAAGCGGTAATAATGCATTACACTAGACACGTCAGTCGTGTTTGTGCCGGTTCTGTCAATGCATTCTATTTATTAGGATTAATTCAAGGGATTAGGGTTAGGGCTAGGGCTAGGGCTAGGGCTAGGGCTAGGTTAGGGCTAGGGCTAGGGCTTAGGGTTTAGGGTTTAGGGTTTAGGGTTGGGGTTGGGGACCTAATGCAATATAGTAGGTACATGTCCGGTGGTTCGGTCAATGCATTCTATTTATTAGGATTATTTCAAGGGGTAGGGTTAGGGTTAGGGCTTAGGGCTGAGGGTTTAGGGTTAGGGTTAGGGACCTAATCCAATATAGCAGGTACATGTCCGGTGTAATACGTGAGTACCATTTGTTGTTTTTCTTTTTGCATTTTAATACTTTTTTTTCACACAAAAACGGGAAACCAAAAACGTCGAAAGTACATTATGAAATGGGTTAATGTAGAAATTTTGGGCTAATGGAAATTGGCCTGGAATTTGCACTCAAGCCTCTTTCACACGCAACATAAATTTTGTAAAGTAATGATTCGAAGGCTAACTCACCCTCGTGCCGTCACTACACATGCTCATGTCTCCCTCGTTCCTTAGTGCGATCCACATTATCCTTACAGTGTTCCCTACATCACTTTTCTGTCACAAAATCACCGATTTATATAAAAGCGCGTCATTCATGCATACACCGTGAAATCTACGTCTGACGCCTGACGTCAACAACCCTTTTCCGTTTGAGGCATATCGGCTCATTCCACGCCACACGTTAATTTGTAGATTACGGAATGGGACGAGTGTGCCAAATGGCATCGGATCCATTCGGCAACTGTCCGTAGAATAAAATCACATGACACCAAGTCTACCCGTAGCATTCGTAATTGTCCGTGACCTATTCGACTCTTTCCGTTCATTTCCGTGACGTCACAGGAATGACTCGATAAATTTGCACAGTGTGCAACAGTGTGGACGTAGCTCAGTCGGTTAGCTGTCGAGCTAACAATCCGAAGGTCGCGGGTTCGCGTCCGACGGGTTCTCACAAACTGGTTGCTTGTCTTAATGACACGTGACCTACGGCAGAGATCGTCCTCACGAGAAGTTGTGGTGCTGTATTCTAAAGGTGCTCCTACATTTTTGTCATTTAGTAATTTGCACCATTACATAGAAATGTGTTTCATTAGTATTTTATTTTTCGAAGCGGTAATAATGCATTACACTAGACACGTCAGTCGTGTTTGTGCCGGTTCGGTCAATGTCTATTTATTAGGATTAATTCAAGGTTTGTGCCGGTTCGGTCAATGGCCTATTAGGGTATTTATTAGGATTAATTCAAGGGTTGTCCGGTGGTTCGGTCAATGCATTCTATTTATTAGGATTAATTCAAGGGGTTAGGGTTAGGGCTGAGGGTTTAGGGTTTAGGGGTTAGGGTTAGGGTCCTAATCCAATATAGCAGGTACATGTCCGGTGTAATACGTGAGTACCATTTGTTTTTCCTTTTTGCATTTTAATACTTTGTTTTCACACAAAAACGGGAAACCAAAAACGTCGAAAGTACATTATGAAATGGGTTAATGTAGAAATTTTGGGCTAATGGAAATTGGCCTGGAATTTGCACTCAAGCCTCTTTCACACGCAACAGAAATTTGTAAATTAATGATTCGAAGGCTAACTCACCCTCGTGCCGTCACTACACATGCTCATGTCTCCCTCGTTCCTTAGTGCGATCCACATTATCCTTACAGTGTTCCCTACATCACTTTTCTGTCACAAAATCACCGATTTATATAAAATCGCGTCATTCATGCATGCACCGTGAAATCTACGTCTGACGTCTGACGTCAACAACCCTTTTCAGTTTGAGGCATATCGGCTCATTCCACGCCACACGTTAATTTGTAGATTACGGAATGGGACGAGTGTGCCAAATGGCATCGGATCCATTCGGCAATTGTCCGTAGAATAAAATCACGAGACACCAAGTCTACCCGTAGCATTCGTAATTGT